AGAGACTAGCAAACAGGAGCTTCTAGAGGAGGCCAGTGTGGAGTTCAAACAGGCTCACAGGAAGGGCACAAGTGACGGTGATACAGAGAAGCCGAGCCCATGCCTCACACAGGCTTCCTAAAACACCATGAAGACAAGAGGAGAAAATCAGCCATCACTCCGTATCTTTCAAGTTGGACAGCACCCAAATAGCCCACCAGAAAAGATGCAATAAACAGTTCAAAAGCACTAGAGAGCTGTGAATGTCACAAAACTGCAAAGCTAAATAAACAAGGCTTATGTGGAAAACGAAGAATATACAAGAATGGTAGAACTAAAACAAAATGGGAAATAAAAACACACTACAGGTCCATGTGCCCTATTTTAAATGCCCAGAACCTGGGGTGTATTAACATTTTACATGCATGGACTTGGGGTGGGGGAATGATCTTCTTTTAAAATGCAGTTCTTGTATTTATTCTCATTTACTTAACATTTCTTGGCTCAAGGGTTCATGAAATGAATGATAGAGCAAGGGCACTGTTATCTGCAGAACCAACATCATGGAACTCTGCTCAATCTGAAAAGGGATTGGTAAAATTCAACTAATTTACAGTTTTTTAAAAAGCTACTGTTTACTACGTAAGATTCCAAAATAAGCTAAGCATAGCTAGATATCTGAGGTTTATTTGTGTTAAGGCTCATCTATAGGTGGGATGGATTCTAGTAACTCCGAATGTGACTTTAATTAGACACAGAGTCTCAAGACAGCTAACTGAAGATAAATGAAATTGTAGGGTCTATTCCAATCATTGGTGTGTTTACCAAAGGGAGAATTCAGAATATGATACAGACAGATATGTTGGGAATATAATGTGAAAACAAAGAGGAGATGGCAGCTATACACCAAGAAGAAAGCCTGGACTAGGTCCTTATCACACATTCCAACCTTGTCAGCCAATGCCTCCAGTATTCAGCACATTTCAGAGGACCACCAGCCTGAAAAACCCCTGCTATATCTCTGAGTAAGCAACAATTTGCTGAATATCATATCTTTTGTTCAGAGATAACATGCAATCATCTACTTTTATACTTTAGTAGTGAACATCATACACTAATTACTAGGTTCAACATTTTGGCCAATTTCAGTATCACCACAAACATTTACAAAATATTTCTTGATCCCAACTTTATTCCTATGGACAAGTCTAGCAATGATCTCTGGGAAGTGTTCAATAAAGTCTAAAATTATAAGGGATTGTGTATATGGTTGTTTCTCATATCCCCATCCTATTTTGAGATAATCTCATTAAGTTGCCTAACATAGTCTTGAGCTTGCAGTCTCTTGTCTTACCCACTCAAGTAGTCCAGATTAGAAGCATGCATCACCATACCCAATCTCATACCTTCTTTACACTGTTCCCCACACTAAAAAAGACTGAAAAGCTATTCCATAAGTCTGTAAAATAGAAAAAAACTGTTGCTAAATGAAAAACAAAATTATAAGCAATAAACAAATTTTAGCAATATTTACTCCATGTGTTTTCAGGAAAAGGTATATGCCAAGATCCTGGCAGAAGATACAGAAACATATAATACATACACATCAAAGCACTCTAATGACTGATGAATAGTTTTATATCAACAATGAAATTACTTAATTAAAACATTCAATTAGTGTTTTTATAAGATGACTCATGCCTAGCAAGAATTAGGTCTCCTCCCATTTCTTCTGCTGTCAGGTTTCAAATACTTTAAACCTCTTCCACAAGCACAAACATGTCAGATGAAAGAATATCATGCCTCTCCAGCAAAGCCTGTAGAGCAAACAGACCTATTTTAATTTGAAGCCAAAAATAATGACACTTTTAGTGAAGGTCCCACTTAAATCCAGTTCATTTCAGAGGCTAGTAGGTGGGGCACAGTTGGGGAAAGCTGTGGGAGAAGCAGATATTCAAGACAGGTTATAAGACAGAACTGACAGGACTTCATTAATGTAAGAAAGAGCAAGACGAAATGCTGCCCAGGATGATGTGCAGCTAGTGGTACTGAAGGAAGGGGCAGATGCTGCTACTGCTACTTATAAAGGACCCTGTCTGTGAAGGAGCAAATTTGGGAATGAAGGTCAGGAGTTCAATGTTAGGAGTCAAGACTTCCATATAGGTTACAAACCCTTCTAGCATCTGTTGGTACTAAACATGTTATAATATACTTACATTTTTAAAAATAAAATCTGAGAAATGCAATTATGATCTGTCTTCTTTAGAAGCACAATGACCTTATGGTGAATGTTAGATCTGTAGTTCTCAAATTATGCTCCATAGCCAACATTCCTACTCCTGCCCCCAGCACTTTTTTTTGGTTAGACTAGTGGGCTCTGAGAGTAAATAAACAAATCTCAGAAGAAAAAAGGAAAACAGGTCATGTAGTAGGAATTCAGGGTCACATAACAGCCTGATGACCAATTCTTGCAACGACAATTTGGTACCATCATAATCCATGAATAGTTGATAAATCAAGATATCAAACTCATTAAGAGCAATGGATCTCAAAGTATAATCTCTAAACCAATCTAATTTTAGAATTTGATAAGAAAGCCAGTTTTTTTTAATTTTAAAGATAATAAAATAGAATAAAGCCAATTAAAACAAAGCAGTGAAATTGGTAGAGAACTCTGAAGCAAAGTAACAGGAAAACAAAAATGACCACCATACCTTGTTATCTTCACAACAGTTGTCCATTCCATCAGATACAGCAATACCAAACAAGACAGTAGGAAATCCCCCATATTTACTGTACTGCATAATGTCATCCTCCCAACAGATGCTCAGACCACTGATGCCAGATACAAAGTCAACCAAACAATACAAGCACTCAGTTATATTTTGTACCTCAGTTACCAGGAACTCAGCCTGTCCTCGGGGCCAGGGGGAGGCTCATGAGAGAGGCTATCTGATTTTTCTCTTCCTGGGCCCTGCATGGCTGTGTGGCTTACAAGAAAGGCTTGCAATTCAGCTTCTTGGTGGGCTCCTCCAAGTCCTGTCATGGCCAATCCTTGGGAGGCACTAAGTTCTCTTTTTCCTGGGCCCCACATGGAGAATGCCATGTCTTAGGCTCCACCCAGACCTACTGAATCAGAAACTCTGGGGACTCAAAAATGTATGTTTTAACAAGTCTATCAAGTGATTAGATAAACACTCAAGCTTAAAAATCACTGACTAACAATCAACTGGATTTCCTGTTTGCCTCGACTTACTGCAATTTTTTTTCCTGCTAAAATTTTCTTAATTGGGGCTGGGGGTTTAGCTCAGCGACATAAGTGCCTGCTTGACAAACGCAAAGTCATGAGTTTGATCCCCAGTACAAAAAAAAATTTTTTTAATTTGTTTAAAACTGCATTTAATATCTAAGTATTCCAGGTAACATAATCCTTCCTTTTAAACCACAAGTTATCTGCCAGAATTGCTAGACACTCAGATCTAAATCTTACCCATAACCTGAGACAATGACAGGATATTGCTTCTTTATGCAAATTACTTCAGTTCCTACTTGCTGTGCCATTCATGAAATATGGACTTGTGACCCATTAGCATATACAAAGTCAGGATCCTTCTTTTTATTTGAATTCATCAGGTTTGTTTTTGAAACAGGATTTCACCATGTAGTTCAAATTGGCCTCGAACTCACAGTGATCTTCTTGCCTCAGCATCCCTAGTGTTGGGATTATGGGCATGTACCACCACACCCAGTACACTTTTTAATAGATGGAGAAAACCTAACAGAAATCTCTTCACTTGTTTTAGATCAGCATTTCTCAAGGCAATGTTTGCCAACCAACCTATCTCCTATACGTGCAGACTACAGGCCCATTCCTAGTTTACTAAACCAGAAATTCCTAGCAATAGGACACAAGAACCTACATTTTCAATACAATTAAAATTTCATTACTATGGCTATAAATGAAATTAATGTTGATAACAATTATAAACGTGGATTAACTGTTTAAGAGTAAGAAAGCACTGAGATAAACCCTAAAGTAAGGTGAAACAAACTGAGAAAAAGCTTACCTTGTTTTTAACCTGAAATCTACTCTAAAATGCATTCTTTTGCTGTAAAGTTTTAAAAGAACTGTATCACACAATATATTCTAATATTTATCTTATGAATCTTGTGAAATAATTTTTCATATCAAGATAGGTCTTCTCCCCAAAGTTACAGAACTGATCCTTCTTTTCTTTTTTTTTTTTTTTTTTGGAGATAGGGTCTCACATTATGCAATTCAGGCTGGCCTGAATTCATTATGTACCCCAGCCTGGGCTCAAACATGTGGTGAACCTCCTGCCTCAGGCAGCGAAGCAGCACTGGGATTACAGGTATGTGCTCCCTGCCCAACGCCTGGAATTGATTTTTCAACACTAATGATTCTATCTATCTTACCCACCCCCCACACCCCATCCGAGTAGGAGAAAAGGTGAGCTCCAGGAACTTTCACCACTTGAGTTGTAAACTTAAAATGAGAAAGCAATACACGACTATATGTGTACGTGTGTATACATATTTGTGAAAAGGTAGGGGAGAATATGTTACAGAGAAATGGTAAAAATTCAAGATGTATCTAAGTCTGTCTCCTTTTGAAGTTCTCTTATCTTCAGGATCCCTCTATACTTCAGGAATCTAGGCTGAAAAGTACTTCTTTCCTTCTCAAATGCTTAAATTCATTTGAAAATGTTCCTTTTTCATAGGTGACAGTATCATAGAGATCTTCCCAGATCTACATGCGCATTCTTGAAGCCAGTCACAGAGCTATTAAGAAAAACCACAGCAGAGGAATCTAGACCTCATTACACTAGAAGCAACTGAAAATGTGTATCCAATCTCATTTTACCCTTTCTCAAAAGTGGATCCCACTGTTTAAAACCGTTCTGTAACACACATGTACCTCCTGTATTCCTTGCTCTTCCCCAAAGGAAATTTCTTTCAAGGAACTCAAATCTGGTTTGATTTTTCACTGGTCAACTCACCGAGGAATGTTCCAGAGATGGCAGAGGATCAGCCTCCTGAGACAGAAGGTATGAGCTGTTCAGAGATTGGGCTCTGGAGCCAGACCACTCAGGGGGTGAATTCAGACTCTCAGGGTTATGATGAGGTAGTGGAAGGAAGGTATGTAACTGCTGCTGCCTTGATTTCTTCTGTAAAAAGGGGCAAACAAGGATACTTAAGCTGCTTTGAAAAGTAAACAAAATAACAAATGCAGAGTGCTTAATATAAGGCTAGGTACAACAAAGTGAGTCACTTGTGAGTTTTAAGTTCTGAAGCACTGCCTACCCAGTCCTATAACAGGCTAAGTCTCACCAAAATGGCCCTAAACTCACTGAGGGCAAGAACCATCTTAGCCAGGGCATGTTCTGCGCACCCACCCCAGCGAGAAGGCCGGGGACCTACAAGAAAACTGCCACCCCCAGCCATGTGCCAGACTCACAATGTACTCTGATGCCTCTACAGAAACAAACTCCACTGCTATTGACAATACCTGTATATATATCTAATTAACTCTCCTTCTTTTGGCAGACCATAAACCAGTGAACTGACAGTCAAAAGAGATCTTCTTGACCTACTCAGAACAGCCAGAGGAGAACACTCTTTCCAACACATAGACCACTGCTGTCTGAAGGTGGGGCAGCCCTTCTACTAGCTGTGAAAGAGTCCTTTCCAATAGTGCAGAAGACAGGACCCTGAGCATATCAGCAGAGAAATCGATGTCTTAAGAGTCCCAATCTGAAGAATCCCTCAGTCAGTCAGTACAAACCCATGTCTCCAGGTTTTAAACTATGCTAGCCCACATTTCATAGTCCTCCTAGGTTTATTTTTTCCCAACAAAACAAATATTCTTGTTCTCTGTGTCTGCCTCTTCCACAAGTACTCCTCATTCAGGTTCAAAGTATACCAGCTGCCCAGACACTGCAGTTCCCTCCTAGAAGACATTAAGCAGTGTGAAGTTGCCTCCATAGAACGTGCTCTCTTCCTCTCCCCATTTCTACTGCATTTTATCCTATGCTGTGGACACGGACCTGTCCTGTCAGGCCCATATCCCAACATCCAGAAGCCACCAACACAATCCACCGGTGTTAGCACAACGAGCGCATTGGCTGCGCTCCCTGACTCGGATTTGCCAGCATGAAGTGGGTCGTCAGGAGTATGCTCAGGTCCTCAACAAACTTCTGTCCTGCAGGACTCATGGGCTCATGTCTATCACCATTGCTGGTGGGTGTGAGTATGCTGGGTGTGAAAAGTGGCTCTTCTGGGAGGAATGTGAGGGTTGGGAGTCACTTCGTCATTCCACCCTTGCTTTTCTAATTCACGAGCTGGTAGAGTCAATAACACACAGTGCTGCAGTGACACTGTGAGATGATGCACTCACTTGTTCAACAATAGTGCTGTTGGTGTCACTCATCATCATCCTAAGAATCTGCCCAAGGCACTAACTCAAGGGCTGTGAGAGAGACAGTGTGCATGTGACAGTCTCACTGAACCACTGCCCACACTGAAGCCATCAATAGTGAACAAAAGGTAGGACTTCAGCAGATCTTGTTTTAACCAAGTCCTGTCTCAACCCACTGCATTGTGCTTTCTGAAACTCATTCGCAAACTGTGACTACAGTTGTCTCCTGGCTCTGACGTACTCAGCTCCCGCCTGAGACCCTGACCACAGTCATTCACCTGCCGAATCCCCAGCAGTGCCACTCCAATGTTACACCAGGCTGTATGGCCTCACATTTCCCATGGGAAAAAACCCATGTAAATCTTCACCTCAAATGCTTTCCTTTGCTCCATTTCAATTTTGTTTTCCCGCTCCCTTTTCTTCTGCAAATATTTAGCATGTAGGAATGCCAGAGGCTTTTTCTTTTTTTTTTTTTTTTTTTTTTTTAAAAATAGCTTTCTAAAGAGGAAAAAAGGATAGAATCATTGAGCTCAAGTGATTTATTGAACAGTCACTATCTTGTAAATATATACCTATAAAGTGTCTCAAGTGATAGTCTATAGAACGTACATACTGGGTACTAAAGAAAAAATAATACATTCAGCACGGGGTGGTTGATTTTCAATATTTTCACGTATGAGAGTCCTGGAGTTAGAAATACAGTTGGTCTGAAATGGAGGACTTCCAGCCACTAGATATATCAGTGTGGAGGACAGAAATGGCAGACTGACCTTATACCTGAGAGGCAGAATCAAGTATATGGTCCAGCAAAGACAACAGAGAGGTAGTGAAGAGATCAAAGACTAGCAATACAGCATTTATACTCAGGGTCACAGACTGGTCTCTTCAGTGACTTCTCACTTAGCAGTCTCACAGACAACTCCATCCCATCGCACTTGCTCTCTCAAACATGCTCCCTCTTTGCTTTGTCTTTGACTCCACCATCATTTGGGATTCCATTGCCACACCTGCCCCGACTTTCACCTACTTCCCTCCAGACACAACCCACATGTCTCCTTCCTACAGTGTGGCAGGTCAACTGTCTCCAGTAACACTCTCAAGGCCTTACCTTATTTTTTACCTAGCTCTTTCAATCTATGCTCATCAAATTCTCCAAGAAGTAATTCACTTGTCACTAAAGCCATCACACAAAACCATGGAGGTTTCCTTTTCCATTCCTTGATTGTCTGGGGAATTCAACATAAAAATCCTGCTCTAGCATTGCTATGAGGCCCCCACCACACTGTTGGAGACCACCATGAAGCTCTGAGCAGGATTCAAAATTAACTAACTGGCTTTCTATGTTTATCTGTGAATCTGTTCTAGGCCTAGGCCCCTTGCTTGGGGATGGGAGCTGATTCATAGTAAGTGAACCTCTGTGTATCACAGTGGGTCCTGGCTGAGGCTTGTAGTGGCCTGTAATGCCAGATACCTCAAAGGTCAAGATAAGGACACAGCTAAGGACATGCTCATTTCCCTATACTCACTCTTTGTTTGGATCTAATAAATATGGGCAGCCCAGAGAAGCTCTTTGTCTTGGCCCTTACCATAGCCACAGAGTCAAGAATTCTGCTATAGGGTTTTGATCCTTCTGGAACCCTAAAATCATACCACTTGTCTCATTTACTTAAGCCTTTGCCGTACACTCGTTTGGAAGCTTGGGGATCTAAGTCAGACCCCAATACCATACTTTAGGTAAGTAACCATGCTTTGCCTTAAGCTGCTCCACCCTGCTTCCTGTTGTAGCTTGGCATAACTGACTCCATCTTGTGCCCTGTATTTGATTCGTGCTCTATATTTGACCCAGAAGAGTAGAAAACTATATGGGGGTAGAAGTCCCATGAGAAAAGCAGAATGAGGTTCATCCGTAAGACAGAAAAATTAACCTGCTCAACAAAGAAGCAGGATACAGTTGTCAACCAAAATTAATGTAACGTTCTAGCTAAATTGTTTCCAACAGGATGTCTTGCTTTGTAGTTTTTTGCTTTAAATGCCCTATGACCCTCTAGTTCAGAACCACTTGGTTTGACTCTGAAATGGGTCCATGTGAGTGGTTGCTGAGCTCAACTAATAAAATTCAAAAATTTATCAATCTGGCTGCTTAGATTTCTATATTGTTACAAATCCAATTCAGTTCCCCTCATACCCTTACCCTGTCACTCTCACTTTTCAGCTCTTTATGAATCTATTTTATCTAAACACTGAGTTTTTTAGGGCAAGTATCAGATCTTAGTTCCTTTTTATTGCAAAATCCTAGAGTAATTTGTCTAACTATATAATTCTCTGTTTTTAAAATATGAGGTATGATAAGAATACATGGTGAATGTTTAAATTTAAAAAAAATTATAGTAGGAAACACACTGTAATTAATCCCCTTTAATATTCGCTCTCATTTTTAACATACTATCTCAACAATCTTGTTACTTTCTGAAGTAGTTGTGGAAATCTTCTTCTATGAGGAGTGTCTTTATGAGGTGTGATTTAAAAATGTAGTTAAATGGTTCTGTTGATGTTATCCAAGGAAAAATGAACTCATAAGAACATGACAGTGTGTCCACATCTACTTTATTCACTGGACCTGGTACCATATGACTTCTGGCTCCACTCCAAAGAAAAATAAACAGAAAAACAATGTTTTTAATCACTTCAAGACACAGAGGCAGCTATGACAGTGCAACTCTAGCTACTCATGAAAAAAGACTTCTAGAACTGCTTCAGAAAGTGACAAGAGGGACTAGGGATTTAGCTCAGTGGCACAGAGCCTGCCTGTTGAGCATGAGATTCTCAGTTGGATTCCTGGTACCCCTCCTCAAAACAAAAGAAAAGGCCCAGAAATTCATGGACAGCAGGGGAGGAGAACAAGTCAACAAAAAGATAAGTCCTCCTGCAAGTTGGCATCATGTGTGGGCTGATCAGGGGAGTCAGATGCCTGCCCTCTCCTGAGAGTCAGTGCCATTCAAAGACTGCAGAGGAGAACGAGAAGTCAACAAAAAGCTAAGACTTCCTGTGAGTCGGCACTATGCACAGGATGACTGGGGAAGAACCAGATGCCAGCTATGTGGACCGGGAGACGAGTCAACATTCCCTCCCACCCTATAGGCAACCAGCTGATCTAGAGAAACATAGACTGTGATGACAGCTAAATGAGATAAAATTCAGTTTAATGCTTGTAGTGTTTAGTGTTTCACTGACTCTTCAGGTGTAAAGCCAGTAACCTAATTATCTATCAAGAGGATAACAACACACAATGCATCATATATGGGGGATCTCCTTTTGAAAATGGTAGCCATTGTTAATTCCCTATGATCTTGTTTTGAAATCCTGTACCATTTTCATTGTTTTGTTTGGTTGGGTTTTACTGTTTTATCTTGTTTGATCTTATTATATATGATGACATGAACAGCTGTTTCAAAGATTAACAAGATATATTAGAGTAGCCATTTTGGGTTTACTATTATATTGTTTTGAAGTCCTGTACTGCATTCATTGTTTTGCTTTTATTGGTTCTACTTTGTTCTCTTTTGTTTAATTTTACTATGTTGCAGCTATTTTGAAGACAACAAGAGGCATTATGGTAACCACTGCTGATTTCCTATTATCTTGCTTTGAAATCCTGTGTCACACTGTCCTGTGTTGATTGGCTTTATTCTGTTTTATTTTAAAATAAAATTTAAAACAAAATAACCCTGAAAGTGATAATAATGATGAGAC